GGGGGTGGGGAGTGAACACAGAAGTAGGGGTGTGACGCAAGGCTCCGCGTTTGCCGGCGATGGTACCTGTGCCCGTGCCGGTCGGGTCGCCTCCTTGAATCTGGAAGAGAGAGAGCAAAAAAAAAAAAAAAAAAAAAGTTATGCCGCATGTTTCAAACCTTTTTTTTTTCCAAGTTAGAGGCAGTACAGAAGTGGTCTGTTGTGGCGACCACAAGAACTCGTCTGTCCTCCTTCTTCGAAATTGATCCATTGAGCCGGTGACTTGCTCAGAAAAGATTCAAGTGGCTCCTTCTTCTGTAGTCGCAATTCGAAAGAGGGCAGCTTTTATCGGCAAATCACCTTTAAAGTGCACCGCAATATGTGCAAGCCCAACAAAATGTTTTTGTGTTATTTCTCCCGCGAGCACAAGTAAGCCCCTAAGAAACATGAACAGATGGATGGTACATTGTGATTTCCAAGCAATGTTATAGAAGCCATCATTGGAAAACGTACACACTCGCAAGGGCTTTCCAGAAATAAAGCCTTGCATTTTCCTGCCTCGTTATCTCGCTGTCGGTCGACATCTTGGCCGGATGACTCGAGCACACTTTGGAGTCAGCCAATCCTCCATGAAGTGTCTCCAGTTGCTCCAGAATGCCGCTGCTCGCCTCTTGACTGGGACTCGTAATAGGGAGCGCATCACTCCTACTTTGGCATCCCGTGTCACTGGCTCCGCATTTTCGAGTTCTTTTCAAGATCCTCTGATTTGTTTTCCAATTTTGAAATGGGCCGGCCCCACCTTGGAGCTCCTGCGCCTCTTAAGCCGCCGCCCGGTGCCGAGGGTCTGCGGACCAGAGGTGCCGAGAAACAAGCGGAGCCTCAGAGGGGATGGAGCCTTTTTCATTGCCGCTCCCTCTCTTGCCACCTCGCTGCCCATCCTTCAAACTGGTCTTCAAACGCATTTCTATTCTTTGGCTTTTGACTCCGCATGAGGCTTGAGTTTTAGTTGGACAAATGGGATGCGGATAGGAGCTGGGCAAAGACCGCGTGGCTCGTCGCGTGCGTCCTTACCATAAAATTCCGAATGGACCTGTGGAAGACGGTGCCATCGTAGTAGCCTTTTTTGCACAGGCCGATGAAGTTCTCGCCCGCTTTGGGAATCTGAGGAAGCACAAGGCGCATGCTGAAAATTCAGTCGCGTTGAAATATGTCAAGCGTCACGTCCATTGCGTTGACGCTGTCGAGGGTGCACTGTGGGAAACGCCATCATGTCAAATGCAAACGGTAAGCAGAGCTGCGCGGGGTTGCGTGTTCGCCATCTGTCTCCTGTACCTCAATGTCGTCTACCTCAGTCGCTGTCGGCAACCCACCCGGCAATTTTTGGTCCTGAACCCGCAATTACCAATCACTGTACGAAACGTTTTGTCTAGACAATTTCATTTTGTGTTCAAAGAACCTTTTATCTTGGCGACAAGGTCAAGTGCGGTTGTCTGACGAGAAGCTCGCTTCCTAAAAGAGCAAGCGGCGTTGACGTCATTCAGGTCACATTGAAGTGCCCCCCCGAGGCGTCAAAGCCTTTTGACAACACTCGCCTCTTGTTCGTCTTCAAAGCACAAGGCCAGCTGCGGAAAACTCCACGTCGGCTCCCTGAATGGGACTCTTTGCGTTTGCGGGCGCCTTTGTGCGTGAGTTTGAGCTCCGAAATGCTCAGCCATCAATTTTTTTGCGACGCGACGGGAATTGTGATCGGCGATGTCAAGCGCGGGAACGAGGTTGGCCTGTGACGCCCGTTCACACGCTTAAAGACTCTCTCGCTTGAATTGGGCCGAGCTCCTTGCGGCGCAAAACCACGATGACAGTGGCCACGGCTCCCAAATGATCGGCACAGTGGGGCCAACTCCGATATGTGTCTTTTGGAAGCGAAGCAGAAATGATGTCTAGTCAATTCCTGAAAAATGGAATACGGCAGAACCATTTTTTTTCTGCGTGTGCGATGAAAGGAGACAATCAAATCTTTCATTTGGTAGTTTGTGTGGCTCCATAAGACGCAATATTGTGTGAGCCTTGAACAATGCTCTCGCTTGACCGGCTCAAGAAAGAAAGAGTTCGCTTGAAATACACTGACAATTAGTCTTGGTTTTTCGCGATTCGCGGGACGGCTCCGATTTGCAGGGGAACACCGAGGCCCGGCTTAATGAAATTCTGCAACAATACTTGCGATTATTTCCTTTCACCGAAATATGACAGCGAGTCAGGCCGCAGCGATGGGATTTGTCAGCCAGACCTCGAGTTCTATTTTATCTCGCTCGGTTGAGGAGTATCCGCGGAAACGTCGATTCTACGATTATTTCCTTTCACCGAAATATGACAGCGAGTCTCGGTTGAGGAGTATCCGCGGAAACGTCGATTCTGAGGTCAGCTTTTGGCGTGTCCGACGAGCGGAGCCGGAGGGGTTTGTCACATGTCCTTTTCGGCGAGGCGGGGCGTGCGGCTGGGTCGGTTCGGGTCCGAGAAACGCGGAGGAAGGTGAGCTGAGGATTTGTGTGATGGAGAGACTATGCGACATGCAAGCGCCGCTCATTAATTCCTAAACAGCGGGACGGAAATAGAACGTTGGGGGAGGGGGGGGGCAAGCATCATCCGGATTGCCTGAAAGGATAACTCATCGTTAAAAAAAAAAAAAAAAAAATACCTTGTCACAGTGTAACTCGACGTTGAGGTCTCCTTTGTTGGTGTGCAGGCGGACGTAACCTTTGTTCTTGATGTAGCTGTAGCGCACCGTGTCGTCTGAGATGGCGTCTGTGACACACACGCACAACATATCAGAATCCTCGTTGCAAGGCGTGCGCTTGTTTTGCATGTTTTAGGGCAGGGGTGTCAAACTCATTTTTTGTCACGGGCCACTTTGTAGTTACGGATTCCCTTGGAGGGCCGTTATGAATTTTGGGAAACCATAGAAATGTTGAATCACCTCCATAGATTACATACACGGCGCACAACAAATTGATGGATAACTCTGGATGGATAAATAATGACTGTTATTTGTGGATTACATATGACAATTTGACATTTTGGTTCAGACTTTAGCAAGCATGAAATTTGACATGCTTGATTTGCTTTCTCGGGCCACATAAAATGGTGAGGCGGGCCAGATCTGGCCCCCAGGCCTGGACTTTGACACCCATGTTTTAGGGTACTGTCATTGTGAAAGTCTGGGGCCACAAATAAGACGGCACGCGCACGCAGTGGTGTGATGGCATTAATTCAGTCGGGGTTAGGGAGCGTCTTGTTTTTTGGGTGGGGGAGGGGGGAACAAAATAACAATAACAACCAAAAAATAAACCCCACATGAAGGAAGTGTTCTTTCCACAAGTATCACAACTTCCACACAAGTAGAGAGCGTGAGCGAGTTTTCCAGCTCAAGTTGACTTGCCTGCTTGGTTGGTGGTGGCCGGCGTCATGGCCGTGGACGTGAAGGAGGCGGCGACTCTGCCCGTCGAGTAGTGAGCCTGAAGGACAAACATTCATTTCCACTTTTGAATGAGCAACATTCCGTTGACTCTGCCACTGACGTCGTCGGCTCGACCCAAACACGCATTTTGCACTTCTGCAAAAAGGGGAGCGTCACGTGAAAGCCAAAGACTGGGACAGCTGATTGCACGCTCTTGATGCCTCCAAATATTCACTGAGCGGCGCGAATCATCATCTTCATTGGGAAAGTAAATCCGTGAGGTCGTCTTCGTGCAGACGCTAGCTCGCGCATGGCACCGTCTAGACCTACATTGGCTTCACTCCCTCCGAGGAGGCACCCGCATTCAAGACACCTGGCTCCTATTTGATGGACTTTTATCATCAACCCGCACCTAAGTGCGCCTGGAGCGAGGCTCCAGCAAAGAATCACATACTTTGAATGTATCGACTGCAAAAAGTGAAGCATTTCACAGCCACGTGAACGTTAAGACATGCTCTCATCCATGCCTTCTCTACCACTTATCTGGGGTTCGGGTCGCGGGGGCAACGGCTTTAGCAGGGAAGCCCAGCCTTCCCTCTCCCCAGCCACTTCTTCCAGCTCGAATATAAGACGACCCCCACTTTTTCAGTCTTACAGTATTTCAATGCAAAAAAACACCGTCTTATATTCAGGCCAATACAGTAGTTAAACGAATACCTCTTGGTCATTGAAAACTGTACAGTATGCGCTTAGGAAAGGGGGAGCTTCCGCCTTTTGGGTTGAAAGAAGCCCCAAATTGGAATTGGAGCCAAATTCGGTGTCTCGTCAATGTCCTTACTGTGTTGAGCTTGTCCGTCTTCTTGGCCTCGGGCTCCTTCATGGTCGCGGCCAGCAGCTGGTCCCCCTTGTAGTCCTTGTAAAGCTCGGCCAGGGTCTCCCGGGTCTCGAGGTTGGTGGTCTTCAGGTGGTAGGATGGGTCCTGCTTGGCCTTCTCCTCGTCTGGATCACAACAAAGAGCCTTAGTGTGATTTTTAGCATGCGTACAAGAATCGAAGCTCTGGTGCACATCTGACCGGGATCCAGCACTTTGAGGTCGTTTTTCACGTGGAAAAAGTTGGAGACGTTGAACTTGTCCAGGTCGGTCGGATCCTAGCGGGGAGAACTTGATGATCGGCGAGGTTCTCGCCAATGAGCATTTCAAATGACACACTTTTAAAAAAGCCCACCTGAAGCGTGATGATGTCTTTTCTGGTAAATTCTTCATCGGTCAGCAGATCTTTGAAACTTTTGGTCTTGATGTTGAGCTGCTCCACTGCCTGAACAAATCGTTTGTGTTTTTTCGTCTACCATTTGATTCTTAATCCCTTGTATTTTTTTCCGCAAATATATGGGCATTTTTCATTTATGAATAGTGTTTTTGTTTTTTAAGTGTGTGTAGTGTTGTGACTCACCTCATAAGAGAAGACGTTGCCAGTGACCTTGTTGGCGACGATGTGAGAGTTGTTTGTGAAGACAGAATACAGAACGGGACAGTGATATTTGCCTGGTGAAAACACAAGGAAAAGGCATCGCCGAATGAATTCGGGGGTGGGGGTCACACAGCACGTTTTTTTTTGTATTACATTCAGAAATAGTTTAATTGTTGATGATTACCTTCATTGTTCTTGGAAAAGTTGAGTTTGATGAGCGACTTGACCTCCAGTTTCTGCATAGAAAAAAACATTTATCACCATTTCAATAATAAACACGATGGAAAGATATGACCCCCCCCTCCCGACTTGACCTCCAGTTTCTGCATAGAAAAAAACATTTCTCACGATTCAATAATAAACACGATGGAAAGGTATGACCCCCCCCTACCCAAGGAAAAAGTCAAAATATTACAAGAATCAAGTCTTTTTTTAAGGTTAACTTTTTTTTTTGCTTTCAATTTATATATATAGGTATATATAGATTTTTTTTTAAACGTTGTGAGTTGGTGAATCCGAACTGTGAATGTGGAGGGATTCAGCATATTCCACAAAATGTTTCAAGTCACCTCCCCAGATATGGGATTGGTGCCATACTTCTTGATCCAAGGAATAATGCTCCTAAAAGAGAAAGAGGACCCATCTTAACCAATTTAAAAAATAAAATCTGTTCGCGATCCAAAAGTGAACAGACTTACAACAGGTCAAAGACGACGCCATCGGCAGTGCACATCGGATAAGAAAATGGCTGAAGGGACAAGCTGAGGAGGAAGACAAAAAAAAATGCTTCAAGGTTGGAGTGTGCGTGTCTGCTTCCGTGTACATTTCAACCAAAAGCCCGTCAATAAAATGACTCACCTGCAGTGGTCGAACGGAAGCCGTCTGAAGTTTGTCTGCGGGATTTCTGACAGCCGAAACAAAACAAAACACAATACTTAATCGTTCCATATTCAACATCGTAGAAATGGAGTGAAAACAACGATGGCATGTCACTGCTGAGTCAAATGGTTAACGTGATACGTATCGACATTTTTTTTAAAAAAGCTATTTTGAGGAAAAAAGTTATATTTTACCGATAAAACATTTCAAAATTTGTTTTAGTGTCAACATTTTACTTTTTCAGGAAAAGAAAGGCAAAATATTAGACTATATCAAGAATAATCTTGATTTATTTAAAAAAAAACTTCAATCAAAAAAAAATCAATTCATTTTTTCCCTGAGTTTGCTAATATTATATTATTGTATTTATCCAAGTCGAAATATGAGATTTAAGTCAAAATTTTCACAAATTAAAAATATAGTTTTTTTTCTAGACCTCTTGTTACCAGTACAAGTCTCAAGTTGATTCTTACGAGAAAAAAAAGTCTTGTAATAAGAGGCGGGGTCCACTCTGAATTGGGTGCCAGCCAATCGCAGATGAGTATTCAAGCAGATCAAATGCAATAAGTCACCCCTAAATGAAAAAATTGTGCTCATTTTAAAAGTGACTTTAACTCATCTCAAGACTACGTTTACCTGCGCGCTTGCCTCCGTAGAAGTTGGTGTACTCTGTACACGTGATGTACCTGTGTGGGTGGAAGGGAATAAGAAAAAACAGAAACATTTGAAATCGGCTCGAATCAAATAAAATGACTCACCTGCAGTGGTCGAACGGAAGCCGTCTGAAGTTTGTCTGCGGGATTTCTGACAGCCGAAACAAAACAAAACACAATACTTAATCGTTCCATATTCAACATCGTAGAAATGGAGTGAAAACAACGATGGCATGTCACTGCTGAGTCAAATGGTTAACGTGATACGTATCGACATTTTTTTTTAAAAAAGCTATTTTGAGGAAAAAAGTTATATTTTACCGATAAAACATTTTAAAATTTGTTTTAGTGTCAACAACATTTTACTTTTTCAGGAAAAGAAAGGCAAAATATTAGACTATATCAAGAATAATCTTGATTTATTTAAAAAAAAAACTTCATGAGAATCAATTCATTTTTCCCCTGAGTTTGCTATTATGTTATTGTATTTATCCAAGTCAAAATATGAGATTTAAGTCAAAATTTTCACAAATTAAAAATAGTAGTTTTTTTTTCTAGACCTCTTGTTACCAGTACAAGTCTCAAGTTGATTCTTACGAGAAAAAAAAGTCTTGTAATAAGAGGCGGGGTGCACTCTGGACTGGGGGTGCCAGCCAATCGCAGATGAGTATTCAAGTAGATCAAATGCAATAAGTCACCCCTAAATGAAAAAATTGTTTTCATTTTAAAAGTGAATTTAACTCATCTCAAGACTACGTTTACCTGCGCGCTTGCCTCCGTAGAAGTTGGTGTACTCTGTACACGTGATGTACCTGTGTGGGTGGAAGGGAATAAGAAAAAACAGAAACATTTGTGACTGTGAAATGGGCTCGAATCGGCACAATTTAGACATAGCGCTCGTAATGGTTCGTTTGTTAGCATTAGCCACGGAAGCTAGCAACAAGAGGCGAGTTTTGCCTCTGTGGTGACGGCACATAATCGATCGTAATTAGAATCAATTTCAACGTACATTTTGTCCTTTTGGTGCTGCCGCTTCCCCATGTTTGCGTCTGTTTGTAGCCAAATGCGCCGAAGAATGCTTTTCGCACACAAGAGTTCAGTGTGTTCGTGAGAGATAGATGCGGATGTTGATGCGCATCCTCTTCTTCTTCGTCATCCTTCGTTTATCAGGAAGGCACTCAAACGCCCCCATCTGTTTAAACTTGAAAATGTTTTTTTAGCTTTTGAATTATTTTTAGCGCGGTTGTTAATCACGAACAGAGGTCCCATCTGTTTGACCACGCAAGTGATTCATTATTACAAATTATTTTATGTGTGTTAAATAAATGACAGATTGCCCTATTTTTAATGATAATGTACATCATTTATTATAGTGCAAAAATATATTTGGAATCATTTTGATGGTTTTTGTAATTAGAGTGTTGGGAATTATTTTTAAGTACTTTCGGAGTATGTACAATTTATTACAGTGAAAAATATAGTTTTGATCATTTTGAGTATGTACATATCGTCAACCGTGTTAGTATTAACATTTTTATGCAAACTATTTTACATATATTGTAATTTTCTTTGGGTTATCTTATTCAAATAATGTTGAAAAATATTGCATAATGTTTAACCTAACGCCATATATTGCTATGTATGTGCTCATCAAATCCTCACTTCAAAGACAGTGTCCAGACTGAGTGAGTTATCCTTGATACGAACCAAAACACACAATCAGTATATATTTGGGGAGAAAAAAAAAATTCACAAAATGTTTTGTTAAGCATGTAAACATTGTTAATTCACACGTTTTTTGACAGAGGCAAGGAGACAAACATGCCCAACTCATGTACAGTTATTTTATTTCCTCTTGGCATTTTATCAATGGAAGATATTTGCATATGCACACACGGGTGGGCTATAACTGTCCACAATGATCTCAACACGAGGCTCGCAAACCAACTCTTGAGAGGGGGGGAACGAGGCACGGGAAGCTTAGTGGAGTTGTACATTCACGCTTTCTGAAGCGAGGACACACGAGGAACACAAGCTTTGACGAATGCCTTTCCAAAAATAAAAAGTTTGAGATGTTTGATGGGTTTGCACCTGAGTTCCAACCGCCTTGAGCAAATCAAATTTGCAGTCTGAACATCCAATGTCATCCACGTCGTCGCCCTCGGCACTTAAATCAGTCAGGCGGAAACTTGGAGAACAACACAAACACATTCAGAACGCAGACACCAAAGTGAACACGAGTGAGATAATGACGATGTTGTTCGATTGTTTTTGTTTTGTTTCTTTCCCCCTCGGAAAACACTCCTAGTCCACAGAACGATATGAAGACAAATCCTGGAAACAAATAAAAACTCTCCGGTGTGATAAAACAGTTAGAGTGTCGTCGCAGGAGGAACGGGAGGAGGAGGAAAGAAAAGAAAGGGGGGAAAAAAAAAATCCTCAAATCACCGCAAATCCATCACGGAGACGGCGTCGTTAGAGATGGTGACATGGCCGGCATGCTGCGTTCAAGGAAAGAGACACAAATTCATTCCACAGCAAGGAGACATATTTTGCATTTTTCAGAATGTAAAACTGTTCCCAGGTGTCTCGATGACACGCTAGTGTGAATGGATTGCGTGCGCCAAGTGTAATTGGCATTTTTTTTTTTTGGGGTTAACTTGAAGTTGGAGCTCAAGTCGTCGCGGGGTACTCACGGTAAATAGAGGCGGGTCTTTACTGTGAGGGTGAAAGCCCTTCTGCTTACACGAGGAGATCTCATTGGTTCCCCGATCTGTCAATCTGAAGTAGCCGATCCTGGAAGAAACGAATGGTTTTGTGTTTTGGTCCAGCCAAACGTTCGTTTTTTTTGTTTTTGTTTTTTTTTGTTGCTAGGCAAGCCTCACTCATTGAACTTGGGCGAGCAGACAATGGCGATGGCCTCAGGCAGCATCATCTGGTACGAGCAGTGCGTGTGCAGGTCCACGCTGGACAGGAACGCCGTCTGCGTTGGGTGAGTCTATAAAGATAAGAGAAGGGGGAAACAAAGTTGAAATGAGTCATAACAATAAAACAATAAAATGTCATAATATAAAAAAAGGAAAAACAATTAGAATGCACACGTAAAATGTAATGCAATAAAACAAACTATGAAAAAAATATAACACAAATAAATAAATAGATTAATACCAAAACAAGTAATTATTTTTTTATTTCATTTACAAATATAAATGAATACATCAAATGGAATACTTGTGATTGTGATCTTTGACATGATGAAATCTTGAAACCCAAATTCTGTCCCTGCTTTTATTTTGATATGCTCCAACTTCCTCGCCATCTTGATGTTTAGTTTGTTTTTGTCCCGACTTTAAACAGGACTGGACTCCCGCACTAGTGACAGGAAGTAGGTTAGCTTGGCCGCGACACTCCTCCTCAAAATCAAAGTCCTTGCCTGTGCGGCGTGCTTCACGAGGCGAACGCGAATGTCGGTGCGACAGGTTTTTCCCGTTTGCGCTGGAGTACGACTGCACCGAGAGAATTTCTGGTCCAGGGCTTGACTCACATGGATCCAGCCCAGGGTGATGAGATCATACTGGTCCTGTATGAGGAAGAGCTCCTCCTCATTCTCCGTGTCGCAATAGTCGGGGCCGCCGCATTGCTTGGGAACGATGACGTGCGTCACGCTGAATGTGTTTCTGGTCTGGAAAGTCAAACAGTGGCAAGACTCGGTCAGACTTTTAGCCGTTGACTGTAAAATGAAGAAAAAAAGATAACAAAATATATTGCTTTCAATGTATTGCCAAGTAGCAGAAGTGTCATGCCAAGTTTACACACACACACACACACACACACACACACACACACACACACACACACACACACACACACACACACACACCTAATCTACATCACATTTCATGTCCTTTACACCTGAAGAGCGGAACAGAGAGCCTTTCAGGCTCACTGTACCGACCAGTTTGCCGCAGAGGATGCCGCAGGTTTCGACCGCCCGGCTGGTGTTGGCCTCGGCCAGCCGCAGGAAACTTCGGCACAGTTCCGACGGCACGAGTAGCTGGCGGAGGGCATCCACCGTCAGGTCTGCCGACAGCGGGTTGAGGATTAGGGGGGAAAAAAAAGAAGGATCGCACGGTTGTAGACATCACACACTCGCTAAGTGCGAGCGTAAAGTGACGTGATTGTTGTCGGAAAAATGAACACAATGACGAGAGGATTTGATGGCGTAATCAATTCTAAAAAGACTTGTTAGTCATAGCTCGAATATAATCGTTTTCAGTTTTTGACCACAATTTGCATTTTTGTTCTCAAATTAAGAATGTGTCTTAAGGCTACATGATCGACCACAATTCAAAACATTTTCCTCCCAGACACGTCACGTTGGGCGCTCGACAGAAATCATCTCTTTCTAGCCACAAACTCACCGTTGTTCCCGGGGCTGAGCAGCGAGCCGGGCTTAAGGGAACGGTCGAAGCTGGGCGGGGCGGCGGACGAGGGAGGGTGGTTCCCGGCCGCGTCGCGGGGGCTGTGCGGCGGCGCGGGCGAGATGGCGGGTGGGCCCATGATGCCTGGGATGAGCGGCGTGTCCTGGGGAGGCGCCGAAGGCTGGCCGAACTCCAGGAGAACGCGTTGGCGCTCTCGCTCCAGGTCCTGCCGCCGGATCATCTCCTCAAAGGCGCTGAACTGTTCCTGCTCCTGCTGCCGCCGCTGCATCTCGGCCACGCGTTCCCGTTCGGCATCCAGGGCCCGCTGGCGCGACTGCTGCAGAGCCAGAGCCTCCTCCTCCGCTTTCTGGAAGGGCCACGGCGTCATATGAAATGGTCGATGCACTTCCAATATTTCGAAAAGTTATCTTTACCTTCTTGACACAATACTGATCATAGTCTTGTTCAAATCTCTTGAGAAGTGCTTTCTTTAGGATTTCAGCTTGCGGAAAAGCCACGTCCTTCAATTTCTGCAGGACAAAAGGAATGAGAGGCAAGCAAGCAAAGAAAAAAAAAGTTTGAGAGAGACATTTTGTGCGTACCTTTTGCGTGTCCTTTTTCTCTGGAATATTCGCTGTTTTATAATCTAGATGCTTGGGAAGCTTTTCTACGAAGAGCCTATGTGGGGAAGGGGGGGGGGACAATGAGAAGGTCAAGATCCCTGGGGAACACCTCCACACTGTCTCGGGGAAGCTTCTCTTACGTGATGTACTTATTGTAGAGGACGAACGCCCGCTCAATGCTGCCCTCCTCGGCGTAGATGTTGGCCATGCGGATCATCTCCATGCCCGAGCGGAAGTAGCGGCGCAGGGGCACCTCGTCATTGATGTCCACCCAGCTCCCCTTCTTGGTAAGGATGCGCACGCGCTCCTCCGGCGGCAGACTGATGTCGCTGTGGTCCGCCATGGCCGCGGCCCCAACCTGGAACACTACAAACATGAAGGCCAGGGCTGCAACGATGAATTCAATAGCTCAAATGATTCAATAAAAGGTTAACTGTCTGCCTCAAAATTTCACGGGGTTCATTTTTCCCCCCACATGGGGGCCACCTATAGCGCTCATTTTTACAAACATCACTCGAGCCATATACACTCAAAGTCGCAGTTACTACAGCAGAATGTGAGATTAGCAAACTCAAGAGGAGGAAAAATAATATCTCTACCTTACATGCACTTTAACGAGGTTAGAAATTTGTTTTTCAAATCATATTACTCGATTAATTGATTGGATAATCTGTTTAACATTTAATTACGAACATATTTGATAGCTGCGGCATTCATAACCGAGCATTCATATTTGGGATTAGGGTGAACAATTTTCCCCCCAAAATCCCCCTAAAATTAATTTAACATAACTCAAAGGGACAAAGTGTTGTTTCCACTTGTTGCCATTCATACACCAGAAAAACTGAACAAAGCCAGATTCCACATGGACTTAGTAAACTTGTCAGTAAATTGAGAAGAGATCATCATTTTTTTTAATCTACTTTCGTTTGGTGATGTCCAGAGGGGTTTTTGGGTAATGTGAAATGTGAGCCTTGGCTCAATGGGAAACCCTGTTCAAATGTAATGTACTCGACAGCTAAAGTGTTTGAAGTTGATACCTTTACAATAACAGACCTTGAATGGCACTTTTTCCACTGCTGGATGTGTAAAAACACAATTGGAATTTGAAGTCTCACTTAATTGCCACTTTTCGTGTGTGACAAACGACACAAGGTTAGTTCAAACGTCATGTAATAATAGCACAACAGTCGGAGGTGTATGGATATGTCCCATATTCAATTTAGCTACTTTTCTCTTTCATAGTATTGCGAAATGTCAAATTTTACACAGTCAGAGGACTGCATGCCAGTGATGTTGCGTTAGCCGCGTGTAGCTAACCTGGCTACTATTTTTCGACATAAACGGACCAGAAAGAAGAACGAAACGTTCGCATCGGCGTTCTGGTTACTTCTTACCTGGTCGCGAGGTAAAACGGCGACCCTACATATATCGAGCCTAAATCGAGATCCAACTACGGACTCGCAAGCCTGATTGATGGAAGGAACTGCGCTTACTCGACATCCGAACACTTCCGCAATCATAACAACTTACAGATGACGCATTGTTACGTGAAAGAAGGGGCGGATGTGGTTGGATGTCACGGAGCATGCGCCGTATACCGTCGACGTCTAAGCCACGGTACGGGATCGCATTTACTTTTCAGCGTTTTACTGCTCTTTATCGTTTCCCAGAGTAGAAAACTACATACATGTATTTCGCCCTCCGAACATGCCAACTATTTTATGTTTTAATGTGAAACAAGTGAATTCAGAAGCAGTTTGCGATGTGACCAGGGATAGCTCCATGGTAAATAGCAGGGCTAGGAAAATAACTGGGGCTCCATGTTCACGCAAATTGATAGATGAAGTTTAATTTTAACTTTTGAAGGTGCACTTCCATAAGGTGGCTCGTTGGTCTAGGGGTATGATTCTCGCTTTGGGTGCGAGAGGTCCCGGGTTCAAATCCCGGACGAGCCCAACCTTTTTATTCGAGTTTTTTTTTTCAGCACGAAGTAAGTTGATAAAAATTATACCTGCGTGACTATAATACATTTATGCATACATGCAGAGCAAACTATAAACGACGTTTTTTTTCCCTCGTGAGGGATGTTGCAATACCCAAGTGAACCGCGTGGAGTGCGTGTGACGTCACGCCGGAACATAACTCCAGCGCCGTGCACCAGGCGCCTTTTCTCGCTGCTGAACGTTTCATATCAATGGGAAGAGCAAGTGTTAAAATGAAGCGACGGATTCAGACCAGCGCCGCTATCTGACACATTCCCACTCCCCCACCGTTCGCCTGCAGACTAAATGTGATCTCGCCGGCGTGTCGTGGGACGGCTGCCGTGGACTGCAGCTGACGTCAAGGCTGCTCTGGTGGCAGCATCCGCGGGCAAGGTAAGAAAGCTAATGAAGGACTCGAAGCTAATGTACTCTCCGTGCTCGCTAAGCTAGCTGCACAACGCCACCGAGCGGTCTTGTCAACTGAAATTAATATTATTTTAATCCAAAACGTAAAAAAAAAACGTAGCAAGCTGTCGTGATTGCACTGCAGTCCGTGCCACGAGGACTCTTTCAAAGGCGGTCCTATCGATCGATCCCTATTTATACTTTGAAGCGACTGAGCATCAAAGGCATGACGTGGAAGTCAAGATCAAGTCTTTCCCGGTGGTACTAATACAAATGTTACCGGCATTATCCGCCACCTAAAGACACATAGGTATGGATTTTACATTGATGCAAATCATACAAATCACACAGGTTAAATCCAAATACTGTTAGTTGGCCGTTTTGTAGTGCCGGTCGAATGTCTACTGAGCCACAAACCGGAGTCAAGTAAGGGCATTGTGACTTAAGAATAATATGAGTGAAATAAAAGTTTTTTTAAAAAGTCCTCCAAATAACCGCCGTGGTGCCCTGAGATACGAGTTTGAATGCTTTACGTGACCACAATCTTAACTCAAAACACTCCTATCCAAAATTGTGTTTTCTCCGTTGCAATAGAGATAAAACAATGAATCGATGAATCAAAAACTAATTATTATCAATGTAATGAACAACTACCTCGATGAATCGAAGAATTATTTTGAGCAATTATGATTTAAGTGTGGTACGAGAACCACTCTTGGTATTTTTTTTCGTGCCTTGGTCACCTCAGGGGGCAGTATAAGACAATTGGACTGGAGCGTTAGATGCTCTCTTGTCGGCATGGCTGTAATATTCATTCTTGGAGAGGATAAAGAATATACGCCTCTGAATATTGCAATAGTAACTTTCTACTTGTGTTGCTAGACTTTGCTATTTTGCGTTCAGATGCCCATTGCTTTTAACATAAAAAAAAAAAAAAAAAATTAGAAAAAGTAAAGAAACCCTAAAACGTATTGTTTTTCTTTTGGACTCGTGTTTAAAACCCTGTAAGACCCAGAAATAGAAAAGAAATGAGCAAAAAAATGTTTTGACCGCTTAGATATCTTCCACCAGGCGGTCAGGAGACTCAACTCCCTCCCTGCTCTGCCCGCACTCCCCGCCCTCTGCCTCTGCCCGACCCCTGCCTCCTGTCACAGACTATGACCCTCCCCTCATTATCCAACATCCGCGTATTGCACAATGCACTACCTCACTTTACCCACAATAGCCACAAGTACCATTGTTTATGCTGTTTATATTGTTTATATCGTCTATACTGTTTATACTGTTCAGATGACAAATTATGTCTTTTTTATACAGTGTAGCTGCTATCTTTTCTTAGCTGTGTGTGTTTAACTCACAGCATGTTTGCATGCATGTTTGCACTGAGGATTGAGAGGAAGAAATTTCATCTATGCTGCATGTCATACGTAAAGCATATTTGACAATGAAGATGACCTTGACCTTGACCTTGATATTGTTGTAGAAGGCCTCTGATGGAGAAATGGAAGCGTTTTGATTCATTTGTTTTTTTAGGTTTTATTAACTTTTTAGGAAAATGACGTCTTCTTGCAACGTAGAGACTTGGTAGTAGCAGAAACTCACTCTGTCTGATCAAATCTACAGAATGTGAAAGCATTTAAACGCAGGATGGATTGTTCATTTCCCTCCTTAATAGTAGCCAAATATTATAAGGAATAATGCTGATCCTCGTTTTATCAATTTACTTAAAGCATTGTGGCAACCCGCAATGTATGGCCTCTCCACCTCAACCGCGGTTCTGGTGGCTTTGCACTGAATTTTCTGCGCCGGGTCTGGCCCGGCCGGCAAAGGACGATGACACATGCGTCACTGCTCGGTTGTCATGCCCCTTGACAGCGCAGATGTTGCGCTTCCCTCCCTCTCCCCTTTTTCCTTGAGCTCTTTCGAACTAGCCGCCTGAGAAAAACTTGTAGTTTGGACCCTCGAGGAAGAGTGGAGGCGAGCGTCCTCATGACATCACCTGCCAGTCCGAGCTCAGATTTGACTCTCTCCTCCCATCAACACTCCCTTGCTAGACCTCAAAGTATGCTAGCTATTCCGGTTCTCGCCCATAATTTCAATCCCCAACGGGGGTGTGGCTTGCCACGCATGTACTCCTTAATGTCGCTGAACCTAACCTTGAAAGGAATCGTCAATTCGTCCACAGTGGTTGTGCTCTTTAGGTCTCACCTGCTGCTCATCTGTGTGACCAGAGCGGTGATCGAAGTATCAAACCAATATTTTGGGAGACTCGGCCGGATTTGTCAAATGTTTTCTCGAATGGTGTTCTCGATAATTCGTATGTTGTCAATGAAAACCCGAACATGTTGGTTTCGGTCTCACCAATCATGTTAATTATCGCATCAAATATTCCAGTCGTCTGGATAATGTCAACAAGCGACGGGACGGATGGGTTCAGGGCAAGTATGCATTTGCGATGTCAACAAATGGTCCAAACGAGCCGGTTTGATGGTGTGCATTCGAAGAAAGGATGTGGGACGGCCCCCGCGGCTTTTCTGCCAGGTGGGAGGGAGGGGGGGTCCTCCGAGGTGACGGTGGCGTGGACAAGCCTCTGGTTTCCCCAAGGTGTGGGCCTGACAAAGCGTTTGCTGAAGCGGCGCGGGCGGCGGCTAATGACAGTCCTGCTGCTGACGACTGCAAGGCGACCCTGATAATTTCGTGGGGGGGGGGGGGGCCACTCAATCACCCGGCCCCCGGCAGCCCACCGGGATATAAAAAAACGGGAGCAAGAGACGACGATATCCTCTTCTTGTGAGCGCTGTGAGAATCCCGTCAAAGCTGTTGGTGACGTTTGGTGTCTGCTCGGAACTTGTTTGGCAGTCAACATTCCCGTTCTGAAAAACGGGATGATTTCTCAGCCGCGTCACATTAAATTCCTCGCGACCGGAGCGACTCGACTTGGCGCCAAACCCCAAGGTAGGATGGCTTGCGCTCACAAGCCCCCTCTTTGTGACCAAAAAAAGGAAAAAGAATGGGGAAAAAAGTCTTGGAGAAAATGTGACTCTATTCTGGTAACGCTGCAACTTTTTCTAAACTATCCAAGTCGTCGCTTGGTGGGGGAAAAAAAAAAAATCAGTCTTTATGGTCATTATAGAGATGAAAAGTATGACTTGAGTTCCAGAAGATTGTAACTCAATTTCGGTCGTGTTTGCCACTTTTATTTGGGAAAATGTGTTTGATCGAAAACAATGAAAGCTTTTAAGCTTCATAAATGTATCAAGGTCTTATTTATTCTCAGTGATTTGACTTTTTTCTTGAATATTTTTTTAATTGCAAATATAGTATGACTCTTATTTTTTGTCTGAAATGTTTTTGTCTAAGCAAATATGAAAAAAGAAAAAAAAAATCCTGCAAAAATAAAATACGCCTTTTCCAAAAATACACAAAGTATATTGGATGAAAAGGCCAACATAATTTTTGCAAGATTACCACTAAATTCCAGTAGCATTGCAACTTTTATGAAGAAAAATACAGCTTTTTGCTTCAAAAAAATATGAACAGGAATCTCAAAAAAATTAATCTCCAAATATCTTTCAGACATTAAAAAAAAAAATCATATTTTTGAAGGGGGAGCTTTTATTGTAGCGATATCTCTTTTTACTCCCTAATAATAATTTAAAAAAGATTTTTAAAAATTCAACCATATGGCATAATGCTAGCTAAGCTAAAAGCTATGATGGGCAGTCCGTCCCACCCCCTCCAGCCCGCCCTGACAGCACTGGGTAGCTCCTTCAGCCAGAGACTGTTACACCCGCGCTGCAAGAAGGAAAGATACCGCCGCTCGTTCCTACCGACTGCTGTCAGGCTGCTGAATAAAACATGCATGAAAACCTGTAACCATTGTAAATAGCACAGCCACTTTATGCTGCATATATGCAGTGGCATTTATGCTTATATCTATATCTTGTATTTATATTGCATTCGTACTGTGTACAGTTCTTTTTCTGAAACATTTATTTGTGCATGCAACACTTTTTTTTTTTTCTACCCCCCAATTTTGCTGCTGGAGACTGCAAATTTCCCCAGTGTGGGACAAATAAAGGTCTCTTGTAGCACGCTAACTTTTTGTTTAAAAAAAAAAAAAAAAAAAGTTCTCTCAGTCAGAAGTCTGACATTATTTTCATAAAATTACACCTTGAATCCTGTCTTATGAGGATTTATGTAAAGAAAAAAAAACACAAAAAGGATTCCCCCCCCCCCCCCCCCAGACATTTTGGCTTCATGACGTCGAAATTAATGATGTCAGCTTTTTTGGTGGCCTTTTTCATGAGTGACCTGGTTTAGCCGTGACTTTTCCCAGCCGCCCGCTTCAGATGCCGATAAGGCTGCAAGAAAGAAAAACCTTTGCAATTTTTTGGCATTTTCAGTCGAGTCCAGTGGGACGTGTTAGGGTGAGCTTAGCTTTGCTCTGTGCTTTTGATGTGATTGGATTTTGTTGGGTACAAGTGTTGTGTCTGGCTGATCGGAACGCTGACGACTGCCAGTCTGCCCTCAGCGTCCGCGTTATCTGCGGCGCATGCCGCTCCGAATGGGCCTTGGACTCTTGAGCGGTCACAAGCAAGCGGACACGCCGACTCCGCCGCTGACACTCATGGCGTGTCGCCCTCGTCATTATTGATTGGACGCCGATGCAAAAGTAAACTTCTGCTTTTAGTCTCACACGTTGGAGTTCCTCATGGGGAAAAAAAAAAAAAAATTATTCTCAAATGATGACGATTTTAGTCTCTTTTAATTTAGGATCTGGCTTGTCCTGTTTGGAGTCGCCACAGGGACTTTATTCGTGTTCACTGCCTGCCTTCATTATTGGCAGCCCTACTTAAGATGTATTCAAAAGTGTTATTTTATTTTTTTTGCGGAAACATATTCTCGTGCTAAAAATTGCGCATAGAATCGTTTGACCTGACACAGAATCAAGCTCCTCCCATGACCATGTCAGTCCCCGGACCTCAACCTCATTGAGGGGGCGGACAAGGAGAGTGGAGAGAGGAGCCAGGTTGCTGGACGATTTCGGTTGTACGAAGAAGAATGGAAGATTTCTGTATTTTCCCATCTTCAGAGGAGGAGATGAGGTGCCCTTTTGTAGTGGTGCACAACGGATGCTTCATGAAGCACTTGTGATCGTTTTTTGACTCCTCTAGGTTTAAAGATGCAGTGGAATGTTCATCCATTTCCATTGCGCTAACTTTTATATTCAAACCAAGAGCACCATCTAGAGGAGTCAAAAAATATAACGAGTGCTTCATGAAGCTTCGTTTTCCCATCGCTCCCGTTTTGTTGGCAAAAGGCATTGGGAACAAAGGATTAACATTAGGGTTGCCAATAATCGTGTCACACGCTATTTGATGCCAAAGAATGATTTCTTAACGTGGGAGTGAATAAATGCACTTGAATGAAGGGGTGCGTTTCCTCTCTAAAAAGTCCGATATTGTTTTGAAAAAGACACCAATTTATTCGAATGGCAGTGCGTGACTCACTTTGGAGTCCGGCATGGATTGAGCGGCGACTCCTGCCGAATGCCCACGTCTCGTGACCGGGCGTCGTTTCAGCTTCATGAAAAAATGAATACATTTTTAAAAATCGGAAAACCGAAATGATGGACAGCATTAGAACGCGAAATCGCCACAAGTGAGTATGTTCCCCATATTTCTCGTACGTTTTCAGCATTTCACTTTATATCTTTAGAAAGAACTCTGTAAAATTCACAGTGCGCGGTCTTTATTTGGCAAGATGCAATTTGGTAGGCATCGGGAGTTGACCCACAAAAAAACAAAACAAAAAATTTAAGCGAAATAATTCCATCTGTTGCTTGGGCTCTCCCAAGTCCTCTTTGCCGCGGCCGAAGAATGTGTTGCTTTCTCGTAATTGTGGTCCGGTTCGAGTACCTAGGTAACACTAGTTCCTTGTTTACCATGTGACTCGTCAAACAAAAGAATAAACACTCCCAAGGCTCAGCAGTAAATGTCCTCGTCTTCAAATAAACAAGTCAAGTGGAATTAAGCTAAGTCAAGATGAAATTAGAATAACAATTGGTCAGCCACTTTCAATTTTCAGGGGCGTTTTGGGAGCACAGGTCGACAACTGGTTGCATTGATCAACATTTCTAAAGTGGACAGTTGAAGCATCCTTACTAACAAACACATCTCAAAACAAATCTGTTGTTTGGGAGTCCAGTAAAGTCAGACTGACACAAGAAATGCTTGTGGTGATTGCGTCAAATTCTCCACAATCGACAAATGCGTCACTTTTTGAAAACAAAAAAAAAATGCAATTCCTTGCGACACCGTAAAGTAAGGGAGACAGACTAAAAACATTGCATTGTTTGAATTCCTCACAATTGACCAACAAAAAGAAAAGCGTCTTGAACAACCACTTATTAACCCCCCCACAAAAAAAGAAAATAACAAACCCAAAATGTTTTACGTTCTACTCCAGCCCAAGCAAAGTCAGCAAGACTTGACAAGATTGAGCCTTGATTCTGCACCAGTGACAGAAGAAGAACTTTGCGCTTTGGAGTGAGCCTTCCGTGACATCGCACGTGTCCCACACAACAAATTTGCTCCCATCTCAATAGTCAGCGGCTCTTCAGTTGTGTTTGCTTTGGCTTAATTTCAACGAGTTAGATGATCTGAAGACCACCGCGCTCTCTGTTTTTAGTTGCGCAATGTGCACCCGCTCCGAGTAATCAAAGCACAGCATGTCACCAAAGATAAGTGGAGCCCCAAAACTGCCGAGTGAGTCCATGTGCTCTATAAATGTCCTTGAAATGTCGGAGGAATGCTCCAATGTGGTTTGCAGAGGAGGAGCTTTTGACTCTGGGCTCGACTTCATTGCCCGAGTCAAGCGGGCAGTCGCCCGTCCTCCTTCCGACGACGTCCTCGTCGACTCGCCGGTGAGTGGTACCTTTTGTCTCCTGTCTCCCACCTAGTCCAAGCCGCTGAAGCGCCGAGAGACACCCCCCACCCACCACCCCGCCCCCCTTGTGGTGAGCCTCTCGCCTGTGACTGAATGAGCCTGTTTGTCGGCCGCGAATCAAGGTCCCATCTGTCGAAAGTGAGCATACGCGCGCACGCTGCATCTTGGCATGGGGCCAAAATGGGAGAGTGTGCATTTATGAAGCGGCGTGTCGTTGGAAAGATCAACAATGGTTCCTCCCACCCGTGTCACTTCAGTCACACTGTTAAGTGCAGGAATGCGCTGGCATAGAAGTGCGGCCCGGTCATTTCACTCCCAAGTGGGAGCTGTGAGCCTCGAGTTGCGAATCGTCCTTCCACTCGGGGCCTGAGTTGATTTGGTTCTCTGACTCAAGTTTGGGGATTGACCAGAAACACCAGAAACTGAAGTGATTCACGGGCAGAAAACGCAGGTTTGGATGATCCGTCGGTGAATTCAGAGGAATCTCTGTCGGGCCCGATGAGTGTGCTTCCCGACACGGGTGACAAAGTGTTGTACAGTGCTCTGTTGCATAAGTGCGAGCTATCGGTCCTGAGGCGACAAGTCTCGTTGCGCTTCATTTCTAGGTTGACTTATGTTATGACTCACAGGAAAGGCTCCAGGGGCGTTAGTTGTGTTAGCGTGGTGGAAAAGGGCCATGGCTCAAGTTCAAGGACTAACCAGAAGCATCGACTCGCGTGACTCAGCAGAGACGTCGAATTCTAGACTCGGGTCATTTTGGTTCCTCGACTCGAGGTGAGGGAGGCACGGTGGCCGACTGGCTGCCACGCTCACCTCACAGTTCTGAGGGATTTCTTCGAATGTGTCGAGTTGGCACGTTCTCCCGCCCACTTTCCAGAAACATGAACTCGAGGTTGATTGAACATCTAAATTCCCCCTGAGAAAGTGTGAACGGTTGTTTCGTCTACTTGTGCCCGCTGATGGCTGGCGACCAATTCAACAGACTATCTGGAGCCACCATGGCCTCACCGGATTTGGTTCAATGACTCACGTTAACGAATTGGGTTTTAGTTCGGTGTAGTCAAACGAGCCCAAGGCGGAATCCCACTTACTTGAGTCGGACAACCAAATAGAGTGAGACCGCCGTGTTTCCGGTGAGTTGGCGAACTCATTTTCTGGTGAGTTAGTTGAGTCGCTGAATCAAATTGTCGCTTGTCGCAGAGGGTTCTGGAATGGCGATAAACAAGGGACGATTGTCGTCATTATTGTGAGATGCCTTATTTCCTTCTTATCGGCAGATACAAGTCCAGCCCGCGCAGCAGCCATGTCGATGGCTTCCGGCATACTCCGATCACTGCCCATCTTGGTCCTGGCCTTTGTCCTGCCGCTTTGTCAAGTGGCAGCTCAGGAGGATGTTCAGCGCCAGTCCCCAGCCCAGGTTCTCGAAGACCTGCTGGCCCGCCACGGCGACAACAGCACCATCACTGTGCCACAGTTGCGCTCCCTGCTGGCCCTGCTCAGCCAGGGCGATGCCGACGCGGTACGCCAGAATGTGACGACCACGACCGCGCCGCCCAAACTGAACAACTCAAAGGTAAGAGCGAAGAAGAACCGGTTGGTTCCAAAACTCCCTGGCCTCATGAGTCAAAGTTGTATTGAATACAATACAATAGATCCTGATTTATCAATCAATAATCACTAGTCAGAGGTCAATTTGAGGCTTTTATGAGACGTCTCTCCGGGTACTCTTAAGTTAGCTAAAAACCAGCTGACTCAAGTCACTGGACTCATCCGAATGTCTGTGGATTTGAGGGATTTAGCTCACACCGATGACTTGTTTCACCGACTGGAGATGACATACTCACCAGAGACGACAGACTCGAACGATTTGGTGAGCCAACTCAAGGGAACGGACTCATCGGAAACAGCACACACTCGGATGACTTGGTTCCCTGACCAGAGTTAGCGACCTGGATGACGTGATTCATAGACTCGAGTTAGCGGACTTGCCGTGAACCTTGGCTGAAGCGCCTCCACTCTTATGAAGCCAACCGCAACGCCGCCGAATCCCATTGGTTTGGTTCACTGACTCGAATGAGTGCGCTCTGCAGAAAAAAAACGACTCCAGAGACTCATGTGAAATGTGGTACACTCTGTTCACTGGTGTGGACACACAGGCAAGAAACGCCCATAGGCACAGATGCTTTTGTTTACTGTCACTCACTGGAACGAAACACCCGCAAGCTCAGATCAGTCGGTTCACCACCTGGAAGAACTCAAGAACAACACAAACTCAAATGGTTTGGTTCAGTGAATCGATACTCGGCTGCTTTGGCTCAAAGGGACTCACTGCACATTTGAGTCCGTGATTCCGATGATTCGGAAATAGTGATTGAAGTGCCTTGACTTATCAGACTCACTGTGGACTCGCTTGAGCGGACTCACTGGAGAGCAGACTCTGAGGATTTGGTTCGCTGACTCCATTTAGCAGACTCACCTGCGGACGTGGAGGTCCACTCCCTTCAAAAGCAGCTTTCGATGTCTCCGGTCGCTGCATATTTCGGCGGCTTAATGTCGCGCAGGATTGCCCGGTTGGCCCGATGAGCTTGAGCCTTCAAAGTGATCAGGTGGAAGGTTATTCCAAGTTCACATGACTGTTATTCTGCTTGCAATATCCATCACTGTCTGTCCCCCCCCCGTCGCAGTGCTTGCCGGAGGACACGCTGGCCATCTACAGCATGGGCGAGCAGTCTCGTCTGGACGGGCGCGGCTTGCAGGAGTTGTGCCCCACCATGCTGCAGCAGTTGGACGCCGGTGCGTGCCGAGCCCGCGCTCAAGACCAGCTGGGCAGCGACACCTCGCCGAGGCCCACTGATGCTGAAGGTACAATGTCTCAACAACTTAATTTAGGGTTTGATCTGGAGGCTCTCGCAGGGCTCGCCGCATCCTGATGAACCCAAAGCACTTGAGAGGAAACGACAAGGCTTTCATTGGAAGTTACTTGAAAATGAAATGTCACATGTATAATACACACACCTATCTGTCTGTCCAGCTATCTATCCAGCTAGCCAGCTATCAAGCTAGCAGGACAGACAGCTAGCTAGCTAGAGCAAACACTTTAGCTAGCTACCTAGCTAGCTTGCGCTCTAGCTATTTCCTGTCACTCTTCTGTCCAGTGAAAAACACATTTCTCCAAGTTTCCAGGTTTTTTTTTTTTTTTTTCATTGTGTTTTGACTGACGTTTAGCACAATGTGCCCACTTTATTGGAATTGGCTTTGTAGTTTAGTAACAAATGCAATTTATACGGTGGCAAAATGTAGTCTTTTTGTTATATGTGGCCTATGTCACTTAGTGCTGCCCAATGAAAACCACCCATGTTCCAGGAGATGTGTGGTTTATTTTCACTGGACGACATTATTTCTGGAAGCTTTTCTTCGAAGTCTCACACTGGAACCTCGAGGTGGCTCATTGTCTTACGCATTTTTTCTCATTGCAGAGCTTCTCCTCTTTTTGCGGGCGTATCTAACGTGAGCTTGTGGAGTTTGTTGATGCCTTCGTGCGAGCGCCCCCCCCCCCAACCCCACTTTGCATCCCGCGTTACACCGCTAGGTTGCACAAAAGGACGGAGAGGTTCCCGCAAAATGTTGCACACTTCCCTCAAGCTCCCCTTGCGCCTCGCTTCTTTTCCTTCCTGTCTTTGTTTGTTTCAGGGTGGCCTGCTGCGCGGGTTTCTCTCTTTCCTGCTACTTCATTGTGTGGAAAAAACACTGGCTTCTTCATTTGGGCATGAATGGCAAGTCTGTCTCTGTTCTTGAGTGGTTACGCTTAATTTGACCCTCCCCCCGCTTTTTTTTTTTTGTCTACAGGACCTAAGGTGCAAACACCTGGATAGACAAAAGGGCATGTGTGGTTGAAGCCTCTTTTACTCACTTGAAACAAAAGAGAAGGCCAATCGGAGATGTTACTGTCGAGTTGGAATTCATCACTCTGTACCTTTCACGCAGAACCTGGCAAAGGGGGCAGAAGTTCAAACGGCTTGTCTCCATGTCGGCGCCACCACTCCGCTGAAGTGCATTCATTACCAAGCCAGTCGCAATGTTTGACCATGAGCAAGAACTGAAACGGACGGGCGGTTCGGTCAGTGCGGCAAAGCAGCCGCGGTGGCTCAAGCGTGTGAAAGTTTTGCACTCTGACTGAGATCGATAGCGCGGCCGCCAGCCAACTTTGCGAGTCCGTCTTCAAATGCAGTGCGGCGAATACTCGAAAAGGCGTTCTAAAGCCAGCTGATGAATTGTTGAAATCTTCAAAGACCTTCGACAGGTCGCGTGAAAAGGGCTTGTGTGTGCGTGTGTTTAGTTTAACCTTCTTTTTTCTGTGTAGCAACCGAAATGAGTTGACGGGTGGAATGGGAGGTGCACTGTAAGGCCGCTGTGCGTGACGCTCATCTCGCTGTGCTCGCTGGTGGGGGCCAGCGTGGTGCCGTTCATGAAGAAAACATTTTACAAGCGTCTGCTGCTCTACTTCATTGCGCTGGCCATCGGCACGCTCTACTCCAACGCCCTTTTCCAGCTCATTCCAGAGGTAGAGTTCCAGCTGTTGTGCAATGAGACAAAAACAGAGGAGGTCCGCGTTGCGCCTCTCGCTCGCTTATTCATGGTGACAATGGAAAAAAAATGGCGCTGTGAGAAGTAATCCACAAATCAAGAGATGAAGTCATGCCGTTTTGTATCATGAAGGGAGGCCATGCTAGGTAGAGTTCCAGCTGTTGTGCAATGAGACAAAAACAGAGGAGGTCCGCGTTGCGCCTCTCGCTCGCTCTTCGTTCTGATTCATGGTGACAATGGAAAAAAAAAAAACGGCGCTATGAGAAGTAATCCGCAAATCACGAGATGAAGTCATGCCGTTTTGCATCATGGAGGGAGGCCATGCTAATGCTAATGCTAATTGAGCAGTGAGGAGCGCCTTTCAAATTGCCTCGAGTGAGCGAGTACGCATCAGATGAGGGTCTCAAAGCGTACCAAGCAGCAAACTCAACTGTACTGTACAACTTACAGACTTCATTGAGAACGAATAACTGTTTTTCTCCGTTGTTGCAAGATGAGGAGTTGCGGCCTTGACACTTGGCATACCTGACTTTATTAGCGCCTTTCAAATTGCCTCGAGTGAGCGAGTACGCCATCAGATGAGGGGCTCAAAGCGTACCAAGCAGCGAACTCAACTGTACTGTACGACTTACAGACTTCATTGAGCACGAATAATTTGTTTTCTCCGTTGTTGCAAGATGAGGAGTTTGCCGCCTTGACACTTGGCATACCTGACTTGATGATGTCACCAAGCACATTGTCGTTGTATTGAAGATTTGTTTTTCTCCCCCCCCTTATCAGGCCTTGGGCTTCGACCCCATGGTCGACTTCTATGCGTCAAAGTCCGCTGTGGTGTTTGGAGGCTTTTACCTCTTCTTTTTCACCGAGAAGATCCTTAAGATGCTCCTCAAGCAGAAGGACACAGTGAGTGACGTCAACAAAAAACATAACAAAACAAAAAAGACTTTTTTGGGATTGCGAGGGGGGGGGGGCTTTTAAGAGAGTGTCAATGAAATCCTCCACATGGCGGGAGGTCCTTGATTTGATTGAGTGCTTGTCCGCCCATCAGGGTCACGGCCACAGTCATTACTCCAGCGCCGAGCGCTACGCCGCACCCGGCCTAGACGTGGAGGAGGGCGAGAAGCTGCAGCAGAACGGGGAGCTGAGCGCCGGCCACGCTCCGGGCAAAATGGACGCCGGCGAGGGCGAGCTCATGCTGCACCCCTCGCAGACCCCGCAGGTAAGCCTTCGTGCCAGAGCCGCTCCTGGAAAGAGTGGCTCCCAAATTAAAAGCAGCCACGCTCGCTCTTGGAAAACAAACGTAACCCCCGAGCCATTTCGAGAAGGCGTGTGCACAAAATAATTCAAGTCACTCCTAGATGGAGAGAGTAGAAGCATACTTGTTGATAATATAATTCAACAGTTGGCTTTTGGGAGAAAGGGTAGAAGAAATAATGGGGTGTGGCGCCTGGAAATACTCAGGCCAAATAAATCAACCACACCTGAAAAGATCCGCCGCTTGTTTTATTTGCACCCGTTTGACCGCGGACGTTGAGACAAACTGATCTTGTTGTCTTGAGTCACGAACACAAGTTGTGAAACTCTTCTTGGTTTGGGTCTGCCCGACTGTTTATACTGCCCCTGGTGGCCAAGTCGTGTACACCAGAAGGCGCCTCAAGGAGTTCAATATGGCGGATGAATTCTTTTGATTCTATTTAAATATCCGTATGCCTATGTTTTCATACTGTTCAGTATTATAGCATGCTATTTTTTTTAATTGTATTTCTTTTTTTGTTGCTGCTGCTGCTCACGAACTGGGTGAAGACGAAAATAACTCCGCCGCTTGTTTTATTTGCACCCGTTTGACCGCGAACATTGAGACAAACTGATCTTGTTGTCTTGAGTCATGAACACAAGTTGTGAAACTCTTCTTGGTTTGGGTCTGCCCGACTGTTTATACTACCCCTGGTGGCCAAGTCGTGTACACCAGAAGGCGCCTCAAGGAGTTCAATATGGCGGATGAATTCTTTTGATTCTATTTAAATATCCGTATGCCTATGTTTTCATACTGTTCAGTATTATAGCATGCTATTTTTTTTAATTGTATTTCTTTTTTTGTTGCTGCTGCTGCAATGGATTGATGTCATTTCAAAATATTCACCAGTAGCACGATTCAAAACTACATTAAATCAAGTTTGAAAGCTTATAAAGCTTTCCAAAGGCTATCGCCAAGACTACCTTGTTACGAGCAACGCTCGTAACAATGCCCCGTAACAACTGCCCGACTGTTTATACTGCCCCTGGTGGCCAAGTTGTATACACCAGAAGGCGCTTCAAGGAGTTCAATATGGCGATGAATTCTTTTGATTCTATTGAAATATCCGTATGCCTATGTTTTCATACTGTACAGTATTATAACATGCTATTTTTTTAATTGTATTTTTTCTTGTTGCTGCTGCTCCAATGGATTGATGTCATTTCAAAATATTCACCAGTAGCACGATTCAAAACTACATTAAATCAAGTTTGATAGCTTATCAAGCTTTCTAAAGGCTATCGCCAAGACTACCTTGTTACAATGCCCCGTAACAAAAAAATGCCCCTTTTTTGTAACAAACACGTGTCAAGTGCTACTTGCAGCTTCTTGTTATGAGACAAGCGATACGTTTTCGCCGACGTCATTCTTCCCCCTTTGACGCCCGTCCTCGCCACCCTTCAGGCGACTTTGTCATCCTGCTGAACGCCGGCATGACCATCCAGCAGGCGCTCTTCTTCAACTTCCTGTCGGCCTGCTGCTGCTACCTGGGGATGGGCTTCGGCATTCTGGCCGGAAACAGTTTCTCCCCCAACTGGATCTTTGCCCTGGCAGGAGGCATGTTCCTCTACATCTCTCTGGCGGACATGGTCAGTCCCATCTTCACTGATTTTTTTTTTTTTTTTTCAAATTATCCCCCCGA